CCCTTAAATAGGCCTAGTGACGCCACTGACCTGTTCCATCAAGAAAACACACCGGAGCAGCTGCTACAGTAATTTACTTTTTGTTTCAACTTCAAACTTTTAGCCTCAGCCCCCTGCTTTCCAAACATTTCGCAGTTTGTAAATCAAAGATCTCAACTTTTATATTTGTCAGATTTTATTTTGAAATTCCCCCAGCTCTCCTCCAGTGATGCAGTTATGAACAACTCATTTATTTTACAAGYACGTGGAATTCTTTAAAATATCCCCGACACAAAGTTGCAACACTTTCTGAGAATTATTTCAGCAAATCTAAGAAGTCAGTAAATGAGTTTTGTCAGAGGCCACTTTAATGGAGTTCAAATGTGTTTTTATATTGAATTAAATCCATTTTCTCACCAGCAGAGAGATGAACTCGTGTCCTTACTGAAACACAAACGGTTTAAAGACATGGTGAGGTGTTCTTTTTGCATGAATCTGATCTTTTTCAACAAACACCTTCACAAACATGACTTCTTCTAAAGAGGTCAGCTGWGTGACGCCTCAGTGCAACATTTAATCCAACAAAACTCACTAAATGTTCTTTATTTCTCCAGTTTGTTTCGCACGTCTGTCAGTTTGTTTGTATTCTTATTTTCTGAGCTTTTAGCATCTTTCTGTCTGGATTYTTGAGGTTTGATGACTCAGCAGCTTTGTGAAGCTCTGAAATCTGCATCAGTCAGACYTTTTGAACAAAGAGTGGGAGAAAAGGTACAGAACATAATCAGCTCCGTCCTGARGAGAACTGGGAAACAAGCGAGGCCTCAAATCGGTTGAAGAAACAAGCAGCGTTGACAAAAACCTAACAGAGTTCAGACATGTTTCTGTAGATACTCATGCATCCATCTGCAAATTTAAAGGCTGTAAACCAAATATAATAGATTTCTGCCAGATTAAACATGTAAAGCAAACTGACAGAAATAGAAATATTTAATGTTAATATAAAGATTTAAAGRGAGGCTGGCTTCAAAAATTCAATACAACTTCCCACCAAAAACTGTCTTTCAAAACAAGGAAGCTAAACGCAGGATTATACGTTTTATATACATCCAGGTAAACAACTTACCTGGTTTTTCAGGCGGTCAATAATCTCTGGGATTAGACTCTCCTCTCTGCCCAGCTGGGCTGTGGTCACAATAAAGTCCACATCGTGACCAAACTCCTTTCCCCTGGAAATAAAAGCATTTNTTTTCCTGTGAGCGTTAGCTTCCTTCGTTAGCGTGGCAGGACTGTCTAAATATGGCGACCGACTCCGTGTTTGCATCATCCGACACTAAACAAAGTTCCCACCCCCTCAATATATGCACCAAATGAAAGGTACGTGATTGGCTACACAGCTGTGGCATCAGAACAAAGCTCGGAGCTGATTGGCCGAATCTACAGTCAATCAAACCCAGGATGACAGGAACTGGAAGTTGGTCATTTCTCATATATTATTGGCTCTGGAGAGCCGATACTTGTACCCAGTTGGTCAAATGAGGTGTCAATCAAAAGAGGAGGGTCTAGACAATTTTTAATGTTTTTCTTGTTCAAAATCACTGAATTTTCTCATTTCCTGTTCAAATACAAGATGAGACGAACTGGGCAGCAAATCAAGCTCCGCCTCCAATCGTTCCAACATGAACTGTTACACAGTMGGAGTCTTTATGACTCCAGTAAAATGTTTTACACCTGACTCTCCACAGTTTATCTGATGTTTCTTATATAAAACTGTATTTGTGTAACGTGTTCTGTGAGCTGATTGGCCGAGAAGACGCTCATGAGCACAGAGAACACTCTGAGCTGCAGAAGAAGTAACAAAACATTGTAAGCAAGCCAAGTGCAGTGTTTTTTGGTACCTGTTTTGTAAATGTTCAGTTTGATAAAGAAATTTAAAAAAAAGTAAAGTGCAGCAGAGATTTATTTGTCTTCTCTCTTTTAAACCTGACTTTAGAGTGGAGGGTTATATATTTTAAAGCTCAAAGTATTTTCTAAACTGCAGCAGGTAAATCAGAGCCACACCACAGCTGAGACTGAAGCTCTTCTGAAACAGTTGGACACTGTGAGGACGTCCTGAGACAAACTTTAACCTGTCATTTTCCAGCTTGTGACAGTATCTGGACTCAGATGGGATAATGTGAGCGGTGCATGGACTTCATTAATAAATAAAGGTAGGATAAAATGTGCATCAGATGAGCTACAGTTTGTGTAAAGAACTGAGATWTGAAACATAACTCATTATTTCTGCCATCATATGATGAATAAGTTGTACTGCAGGTTTGTATCTTTATAAATCTGATTCTGATGCATGTCACTGCTTTTAACTGAGGTTGTTTCACAGTTAAAACAGGTAAAATATTAATATTTTGAAACTTTTCCACAGAAAACCTAAAGATCTGTAGGTTCTGAGACAATTCTGATGAGTCATCTGAATGTTGCTGCCTCTGCTCTGCAGTGTGTGACACGTTTCATCACAAATCCAGCATGAAAACAGAGTCACCGAGTGTCCCCKCCACAGCAGCTCCCCTGCAGGTAGAGAAGCTTCAGCTGGTTTACATGAGGAATTACAGAGGAGGACAGGAGGGACATCATCCGCCCCCCAGTTCAGTCAGGAGAACAGGACTTTCAGAACCAGGATCTGAAAACTGTTTTCTTTCTTCAACGTTTTCCCAGAGGCTTTCCTCGAGAGAGGAGCGGCCGCGGCGGCGAGCTGCATCGGGGGGCCGCGAGGCGCTCTGATTTCATCTCACATTCTGTCTGACGCTCAGAAAAAAGACTGAAAAGCTGCCTTNGTTTAGTTCTCAGAATGTTTTACTTCCATCAGGAGCTGCAGGYAAATCAGGTTTTATTTGATGTGAAATAAGATGAAGGTTAGCAGCTGACTGTGAGCTTCTTATTGTTTTATCACTTTGTGTCAGAACTTTTACCTGACAGCTGAACKAATACGTTTTCAATAATCCAGGATAAATTCAGTTTTAATAATGACTTTATTACAGATTGGTTTCTTTCAAACCTTTATTACAAACTAATTTGTTTTATAATTTTCCTGCAATAAAACCCTCTGTTACCTGATGAACTGTTGTTCTGACAGAGAAACATTCATTRATTAACTGACTAACATTATTCTAAATGAAGGTATGAAGTAAGATCATCTGTAATTTATACTAGAAAAACTTAATAAACATTTAGGAAGTCATCGCAGCAAAGAGAAAAACAGATTTTATTTAKAATAAGTATAAAGTGCAGGAATGCTGAAAGGTTAAATAAACTAAGTAAATGATGAAACCTCAGAGTCTAAGTGAGCAGGTTCAGACTTTAACGTGACTTACAGCTCATTGTTTTAGGAACAAAGTCTCCACACAATCAGATGTTTCTGGTTTGCATGTGGCAGGAGAACAGGACTGTAGATCCTGCTCACTAAAAGCCAGAGTTGTGAGGATTCAGAGTTTTTCTGTGGTTTCTGACAGGAAAACAGCACGTTTAGAAAGTGACAGATGCTCCTCAGAGCCTCAGGTTTGATGGAGGCCGTGTGTCTGTAAGCTGTGTGATGGACCGCCACCTGTCAGCTCACCTGGAGGCTTCGCTAAAGACACACACACACACACACACACACACACACACACACACCGTAACCCACAAAGCTTTTGATAAACACACTGAGTACACTCCTGATGACAGTGGATGTTTGGGACGACTTGCTCTGTCTGATTGACAGCTGACTGACGGTCAGAGCAGGAAGTTAAAGCTTTGAAAAGCTTCAGAGTGTGTGTGTGTGTGTGTGTGTGTGTGTAAGCAGACAGGTCTGATGTTTGGAGCAGCGAGCTGGCCTCCACACCAGCAGGTTTTTTGATTTTGATTTGATTTATTTATTTAACAGGAAAAGATTATTAAAAATCAAGCCTGACTCNCATCTTAAAATGACTAACTTAGAGGCACTTCATGCACACAACCTGAGTGATATCTGTGCATCTCAGCAGCTCAGACCCTGCTGCTGCTGCTGCTGAACCTCCCTCCTGCTTTCCTTGGCTCAAAATGAGCATTTTAACCCAAGGACAGCTGGAAGCTGAAAGGTTACAAAAATCCTCCAATCAGATAAAAGAATCCAAGATGGCCACCACCACAGATAGATTTAATTTAAGCTAAGTGCTAATGCTAATTTTACAAAGGGCTATAATTCAGCTGTTAAAAACGCAGATGAAAATGTTTAGTAGCCACAAATTTGAACGTTGATAAAAAATCCAAGATGGCCACCAAAGCTATTTCAAATTGTCAGACCCACCATCATTTTTTAGAAATACTGAGCTAAAGTCTGCTAAAAAAAAGCCGAGAATCATTTTGAAAACTCAGTTTTAACCTCTCAGAGATGATAATCTGAAAGTTAGGGTGGTGGTAGCTGAGAGTGATGCCCTACAGATTCTAAAATTAAATCAAAGATATCCACTAAAGCTAAGTTTAAATGGCTACAATTCAGCTATTTTCTACATATGAAGCTGCTAATTGGTGTGATGGAATTCATTGTTTTATATGAATTCAGTGGTTTAGAAAAAAAGGTTTGTTTTTAAAGGTTTTTAATAAAGATTTTTTTGTTTCTTTACACGCTGCAGGTTCCCTCTACAGATAATCCAGCTGCAGACAGAGATTTACTTTGTTTTAGCTCTAACTGCACATCTGTTATTGCCACGCCCACTTGTCAATCATTTGGGGTGGCCAATCAGGCGTGGCAATTGTCACTGTGGCCACCCCTCTGGCTCCGCCCCTGCACTCACGTCGTCTTTGTGGTTTTTAGACGTGTTGATTCCAGGTTGTTCAAACCAAAGTGGGGGGGTAATACTTTTGCAGCCTGTCCAGTCGTCCCAGCTTTCAGAGACATGATGGACGCCCCCCCTCCCGTCCCTCTGTGGCTGTGTCCAAAACGACAGGCCGGGTCCTCCGAAAGACCCAGACTACCCGGTCGAGGTGGGCCGGGTCCTTGATGGACCGGGAAGACCGGAAAAAAAGAGGCTGTGAATTTGGACGGTCTAGCGTCCCGTCCTTATGTCATGTCACCTAGCAACTGTGACGACGCTAAACAAGCTAACTTAAATCAAAACTAGAAAAATATCAATATATTAGCATTATTAAAGTGTGTCTTACCCCGCTGTGAAAAGATAACTCCGCCCCAAGGCAAAATTTGAAAAATGCATCAAAGTGGGTATGGGAGGGGG